ACTTGTCAGCAGATGGGTCTATGAAAGACAAGGTGAATCATAGAACTGATGATGGGAAAAAGGTGAGTGGTGCACTGAGGAATCTTTGGAGACAAAGGACCTTATCCATGGAAGCAAAGTGGGGAATGTATGAGAGTATAGTGGTACCAATGCTCTTATATGGGTGTGAAGCATTGGTGGTGAATGTTGCAACAAGGAGAAGGCTGAAGGCATTTGAGAAGTCGTGTCTGAGGGAAATGTGTGGTGTGTATATTATGCAGAGTATCCGCAGCTTGGAAATTAGAAGGAGGTGCAGGGTTTCTAAGAGTATTATCCAGAGGGCTGAGGAGGGGTTGTTTAAGTGGTTCAGATATTTAGAAAGGATGGAACGAAATGAATGACTTGGAAGGCATATAAATCCGTAGTGGAAGGAAGGTGGGGTAGGGGTCGTTCTAGGAAAGGTTGAAGGGAGGGGATAAAGGAGGTTTTGTGTGTGAGGGGCTTAGACTTCCAGCAAGTATGTGTGAGCATGTTAGATAGGAGCTAGTGGAGGCAAATGGGACTTGATGTGCTGTTGAAGTGTGAGCAAAGTAACATTTATGAAGGGATTCAGGGAAACTGGTTAGTTGGACCTAAATCCTGGAGGTGGGAAGTACACTGCCTATGCTCAGCAGGATGGGTAGAGATATGTTGCAGTTTTTGAACTGTAGGGTTGGCATGTCTCTGGCAAGACAGTGATGGAATGGAATTTGGCCAATTTCACACAAAGTTCAAAATATTCCAATTTCAAAATAGGGTCCAGAATAAACAATGCAGGCATTCCTGGCATTAAAATAACATTTCCTATGTTTATTAGTTATGTTTCCAGGCTTTACAGATGAATTCCATTTTGATTTGTTATTTAAATTAAGAATTTTTATTCATACCAAAAAGTATAAGATTTACTGTTATGCAATATTGTAATAATTGTATAAATAATATCAGCGCATTCGTGAACTCATATTAGACCCACCAGCTGGCATGTATTTGATGCATCATGTGATTTGTTTACTCTTGAACATTGGCAAAAATCGAACATTTCTGCTAATTTGAGCTCAATTTCAAACTATTTTCAGTACTAAAACCAATCAAAATCATCTCTATTTCTGTAATATATCTTTCATTCTGTCAGAGACCAAGAAACTGCGAATACAACCCTAAAAATCATTCAAAAATACATCGCAAAGTCGCAGTTTTAATCCAAAAACATGATCAGTTTTTTTTTCTCATGCACTAAATTTTTTCTTTATTATTAACACACTGGCCGATTCCCACCAAGGCAGGGTGGCCTGAAAAAAAAAACTTTCACCATCATTCACTCCATCACTGTCTTGCCAGAAGGGTGCTTTACACTACAGTTTTTAAACTGCAACATTAACACCCCTCCTTCAGAGTGCAGGCACTGTACTTCCCATCTCCAGGACTCAAGTCCGGCCTGCCGGTTTCTCTGAATCCCTTCATAAATGTTACTTTGCTCACACTCCAACAGCACGTCAAGTATTAAAAACCATTTGTCTCCATTCACTTCTATCAAACATGCTCACGCATGCCTGCTGGAAGTCCAAGCCCCTCGCACACAAAACCTCCTTTACCCCCTCCCTCCAACCTTTCCTAGGCTGACCCCTACCCCGCAGCACTGTATGCTGCAGGATATGTTTTATATGGTGCACACTTACCACATAGATGCATTCTCTCATATCTAGGCCCAAATTTACCACTCACAGCCTATTTGAGTGAGCTGAGCTCATGACGTAGTACGACAACTTCAGAGCTGTAGAACTTTATGATGGACCATCAAAGGGTTAAGAGTTAATGAAATTACATTTTCATTGGAGATGTGAGGCCATATGTACACAGTTGACTGTCAATTAACTTGGTTGTAGAAATGGCAGACTATTTTTTTTAAAGCTTTGTAATTTGTTAAAACTCAAAAATAGTCAGTCTTTCTGTTCTTTACATTATAATTGTCATTACTTGTTGATGTAAAAATGTGTGAGGAAGGGTTGATGTGACTGTTCAATACCTGTGCAAACGTACAACAGGCGTCGGCTGCCAACACTACTGAAAAAGCCACTCATGGCGAAACGTTTCCTCTAATAAATGTCCTGAACATTTATTAGAGGAAGCTGTGTATACTGTGATAGACCTACGAATTCCATACATAAACATTTATCATATTCAAATATCGTGACTCATTTATCATGGCAGTGTCACGAGTGTCCCTTTACTCATATAATTTCTGTACTTTTCACATTATATTTTCAATGATGATCATTTTCAACACTTGTATCAATACACCAAAGGCAAGTAAAAAACTGCTAAAGGCAAAGCAATGAGTAGTTACAGCAGAATTATCAGTTGCTATCCTTTGTGTGTACAGCTTTTTAGTTATTTTCTCCTAAATTAACTCCATTCTAAATGATAAATACAGTATGCTCATCAAAAATATACCACACTTTTTCAACCAGGTTATGTTGAAAAAGTATTAATAGACTTCATGTTTAGTCAGGGTATTGTTGCATGACACATGTAATTCAACATAGGAACTACAAGCCTTCTAATGAGGAACTACTTCAAGGAACCTATATGGACCATTTGGGTTTTATTGGCAATTCTGCATTTTTTCTTTTACATAGTTAAATAAATGTTGAATAATGAGCTTGAGCTCATTTCAAAGCCTAGAACTGTCATAGGTAAATATGTTAACTCCCTCCCTAGGTTGTGACTCACAACAGTTAGCTATCAACCAGGTACCTATTTAATGTTAGGTGAACAGGAGCAATGGGTATAAGAAAATATGCCCAACATTTCCACTCTTGCTGGGATTGAACCCTAGTCCATCAATTGTGAGCTGAGGGGGCTGCTACTATAATCACAAACCACCTTGAGAGGTAGGTGCTTCGTTATTTTTAAATTTACTTATTGCATCCCTGCTTTTCAGTTGGAGTATTTTGTAGTGTCATCTTAAATGTTCTGGTTATTTAGGCTGTTATTTTCCTTGCACCTGTGATGTTATCCCTTAAATGATCTGACATAATTACCTAAAGGTCTTTGAATTTCTTTTTTGCTCAGTTAAGTGGTTTGATTGTGTTTTGTATTCTATTCTAATTTTTATTGTTTCAGATTTTTCATAGCAATGGGTGCCCAAAAGAAGCATATTTGCACTGCATTTTCATTAAAGTATGGCCTTGAAAGTGTAGTAAAATATCTAATAATACCAAAGAGACTCATTGGAACACATGGCAGAGTGCTCCCATGATTCCAGATTTTCAAATTTTCCATCGAACGGCAGGTGGGGCTGTCATTTTAAGTGTTGCCTTCATGTTTCACAAATACCATGGCCTCCTGCCACCTACTTACTCTTCAAACAATTTTAACCAAATTTTGGGGGGAATATGATTGTCTCAATAAATTTGCAGGTTTCTTTATTTGCAGGTTTTGATTATCCAGCTTTTTTACTGATTGGCAGCTAGTGCAGAGATTTGATTGTCCAGTTTATTTTTGGCATAATTGCTTTCTCTCACTAAACTCTCTTCTTTTTATTCTTGTCATTATTTCTCATGAAATAATGACAAGAATTAACCACATTAGTTTGATATATTTGTAGGAACAACTGTACTGTATTATTATTGTCCTTTCTAATCTCAGTATAAACCACAGCAGACAGGAGGAACGTTAGTGAGACTCCAGTTAGCTGACTGTCTGAATAGAGCAATTGTATTATGCTTCTAAACAACAATATTGTAGCATGTTTTATAGATCAGCATTGTGAGTAACATCACAACTGCCAGGACCAACAGCAACTTTGCTGACTGCATCAACATTGCTACCAGCAGCAAAAACATTTGAGGCAAGACACGGGCTTGCCTTTTTACAGCTATTACCTTTGTTCACCGAGTAATAAATGGCATGTTAGACAATTATTTAATGTGGATGTTCATGAAAATTACTGTGTAAATTATAAACCTCTACATCTATAATCATTATAGACATAGGGGTTTATACCATTTTCTTAGATGTGTGTAGTGTCATCAGCTCTAATGCAGTCACCATTTTAGATAGTAATAGCCCACTCTAACCCCACTTGCATACATGTGTGAAGAGTAAGCTGCATTTACATGGGCACTGCTGTTCACAGTTCATTGTTAATTTATTTTTGTGTGCATAGCATATAGGCATTGTGGGAAGAATAGTTCTACCTGTGACATGCCTGTGACTGGTTTAAAAGCCTTATCTACCTTTCCAGCCCACTGGCCCACGTAGTTATCAGAGCCTAGTTAATTTGGCACTTTGTGAAGCTAATGATCCGGTTTCATCTTGAAGACCTTTTTTTTGTTTCTGGCAATATTTCTGACATTTGCTGGTAGCAGGTTAAATAATCTTGGGCTACAAATATTGACAGTATTCTCTTTATGTGCTCATGGCACCCATTCTTTCTTCTGGATTTATTTTACATTTCCTCCTATATCTTTCACTCTAGTAATTTGTTATGCTTATGCGTGAATTTGCCACCTGGTCTTACAATATCTTCCAGGTGTATATAATATCAAGTATCTCTCTTCTTCACTCCAGAGAGTATAATACAAGTTGTTGGAGACATTCCCAATAATTTAACCCTATTTTTTTTGGTTATCAAAATAACAGTGGGTTTTGAAGGTGCTTGGCCTGTTCTAAAATCTTTTTACTCTTTTGACTTTTGCCATATCTTTGATAGTTTATGAATTTTTGAAAGCTAGTCCAAACATCATTATTCCTGCTTATGCTACTTACGAGCAGTTGTGAACGATTGTGAAACAACTGCTCCCAAGTCTAGAATTACTACTAGTTTGAAAAACTACTTACTGGTTGAAAAATGGTTAATGAAAGGAGGGAGAGTTAAGTAATGTTCTGTACAAAATTTATCATAAAATATTTAAAATGTATTCTTATTTTTTCTTGGTAGTCTTAATATCTTTTAATTGAATGTGTTTACTTATGAACAGATAGTTGAAGAGTTCTTGAGCCGGGAAGTAAACTATGTAATAAGTTCCCGTGGAAATCAATCAGCGGGTGGCTCCAGCGGTGAACAGCAGCCATCACCCAGTGGTGTACAAATTGCCTCTCCCCTCACACCACATCAGCCTCTGTCTTCACTCCCCTCAACCTCACATGACTCACCACTAAATAACATTGACTCTCCAAGAGAAGATTCAGGCAAAAAACGTGTTGTAAGTATCAGAGATATTGCGTGTATTAATTCATACAACTTGTATATCTGCTAAAATAGTTCTTCTTTTCCAAGCACTCACTTTGGACTTTACTCTTGACAGATCCTCTTCCTCCCTCTCTTAGCATTAAATCATAGCCTTCCTTTCATCATCAGGGTTTAACAGTTTAAAATATGTTTTCCATCTTTCCAGTACTTCCAAATACCCATCTAACATCTCATTACTATCATTCTTAACTGTTGATTATATACTATACCTTTGCCAGTAAGACTTTTTCATCTTATTTATCTCAAAACTATTGATTACTCTAAGCAAGAGATAGACTTGCATGTACCTGCCTTTGCTCTCATTTTGCACCCCCTCATTGGGTGTTTAACACCTTTTTATGTCCTTCCTCAGTTTTTTTTTTTTATACTTTAAAGATAGTAAACTTTAGAAGTGAAGAGTGTTTACCTTATATTTTGTTGCCTCCCTTTGCCATTAACTTGTTAACAAAAGATACCATAGCATTTACCATGTTTTTGTACTTGACTCTAAAGAGTCACATAAAAACACAGTTTTATTTCTTCATCTCATTTGCCAGCATGCAAAACAGGTGTAGACTTATGATCCTGAATCAGCATTTTTCTGTAGCAAGTTGGAATTCTGTATCACACTGTGCAGTCCTTGTAAAAAATACTTGGGTAACCACCTTCCCCATCTATTCCAAAACATACTCTAAAATAAAAGAAGTCAATAAGATTTAACCCATTAATGAAGGTCCAATACAAAAAAAAGAAGTCGAGGTTAATAATGGTCCACTGCAGCTACTCTTAACCCTTTCACTGTCGAGACCCCTGCTCACAAACTTGGTCTCAGTGTCGAAGAATTTAAAAAAAAAAAAAAATTTCTTATGAAATGGTAGAGAATCTTTTCCCAATGGTAATGACACCAAAAGTATGAAATTTGATGGAAACTTACGGAATTGTGCTCTCACGAAGTTAGCAGTCTTGGCGATATATACACATCGGCGATTTTGCCGACTTTGAGCCCTATTTTCAGCCAATTCCATTGTTCCAATTGACCAAACTCATAGCTGTTTCACTAGAACTCCATTTATTCTATTGACTGAGTACAAGAAACTGCCCATTTACCGATTTCAACTACCCAATAAAGTGGTCAGAAATTGGCAATTTGGCCAATTTCACACAAATTTCAAAAGATGCCAGTTTCAAAATAGGGTCCAGAATAAACAATGCAGACATTCCTGGCACTAAAATAACATTTTATCTGTTCATTAGTCATATCTCCAAGCCCCTCTTATATTATTCTTGCTTTCCATTTTGAATTTTTATTCACATAAAAAATAGAAGATTTACTGTTATGCATACTACTGTATTATTGTAATAATTGTATAAATAATGTCAACCCATTTGTGACTGCATATTAGGCTGACCAGTTGGACATGTATTGGATGGTGATGTCATTTGTTTACTCTTGAACATTGGCAAAAATCAGACATTTCCACTAATTTGAGCTCAATTTCAAGGTCATTTTCATTGTGAAACCAATCAAAATCATCTTTATTTCTGTAACATGTGTTCCATTCTATTAAGTGAGACAAAGAAAATGAGAATACAACCTTAATACCCTACAAAAATTCACCTCAAAGTCGGCATTTTAAACCAAAAACACGGTCTGAGTTTTTTTTTTCCTCATGCACTGTGTTCTGCAGGATTTTTTTTTTTTTATACTTTGCACACTGACCACACAGACCCATTCTCTCAAATGTAGGTCTACCAGCTTGCTCCTGCTAGATTTGAAGCCACTAGAATTTTGGCGGATTAATACGGCACCAACACTGGCTTGTAATCCATACTAATACAACACCAACAGTGAAAGAGTTAAAGTTTAATTTTAACTTTATCTTTTTAAAATTTTATTTAAAGTTTTATTTATGGTTTTAATATAATTTTTTTGTTGTCTTGTATATGCTGTTTGCTGAAGTTGAGCTTGGTGCTCTCTGGGATACATTGTGCTTGGTTACACTCCCTGCCAGTGACCCACCGTGAGTCTGCCTACCTTTTGTCTACCTTTTAATAGTTTCAAGGATCACTAGGTTTCATGATTAGTCATTCTGACACTCCACTGTGACTTAACACTGTTGATTTTAAGGAAAATTTTAAGTTTACTTTTGATGATCATTAGGACTCTAATATTTGACGGATGGGCATTGTAAAGCTCACAGTATCTCTTAACTCTTTCAAGGTCCAGACCACCGATCTGAAACTTGTCCACAGGGTCCAAGAATTTTCAAAAAAATGTTTATTTTTTTCTTATGAAATGGTAGAGAATATATTTTCTGAAGGTAATAAAACAAAAAGTACGAAATCTGATGGAAAATTGAAGAAATTTCACTATCACGAATTTTGCTGTGTCAGTGATATTTATGCATCGGCAATTTTGCCCACTGTGACTCCTATTTTAGGCCAGTTACATTGTCCCAGTTCACAAAATTCTTAGCTATGTTGCTAGTATTACTTCTATTTTATCGATTGAGCACAAGAAACCACACAATCAACTATTTCAACTATCCAATAAAGTGATAAGAAATTGGTAATTTGGCCAATTTCACACAAAGTTCAAAATAGGGTCCAGAATAAACAGTGCAGGCATTCCTGGCACTAAAATAACATTTCTTCTGCTTAATACATAAGTTACGTTTCCAGACTTTACAAATGACTTCCATTTTGATTTTTTATTCACACCAAAAATAGAAGATTTATTATTATGCAATATTGTTATAATTGTATAAATAATATCAGCACATTTCCCTTCAGTATATTGGGGTACCAAACATTCATGATTTTTCAACATTTGCGAGGTTCTTGATCCCCTAACCCTTGCAAATATTGGGGGAGACCTGTATTGTAATGAACAGAATAGAGGAAATCATCTCTTCATGTATATTATTTAGGCATGCATACTTGTCAGAGAGCCCGTCGTAAGTCCGAGGCGTCGGTAAACGAGTACATTGCTAAGTGAGGAGAGGCTGTATTAGACTCGCCAATTGACATGTATTGGACGTGTAGCGTGATTTGTTTACTTTTGAACATCGGCAAAAATCGAACATTTCCACTACTTTGAGCGCAGTTTCAAGGTACTTTTCATTGTGAAACCAATCAAAATCATCTCTATTTCTGTAATATATCTTCCATTCTGTCAAACGAGGCCAAGAAAACAAGAATACAACCATAAATACCATATGAAAATACACTGCAAAGTTGCTGTTTTAAACCAAAAACACGGTCGGAGTGTTGTTTTTCTCATTATGCACTGCGTGCTGCAGGATTTTTTTATACTGCGCACACTGACCACGCAGACCCATTCTTTCATATGTAGGCCTACCAGCTTTTTTCCACCAGATCTGAAGATGCTAGAATTTTGGCGTATAAATATGGGACCGACACTGGCTATGAAGCCTTACATATACAGGACCAACCCTGAAAGGGTTAACACACTGTCTCCCACCGAGGCACGGTGACCCAAAATAGAAACATTTACAATCATTCACTCTATCACTGTCTTGCCAAAGGCATGCAGATACAGCAGCTCAGATGTCCCTCCATTTATTAAATAGTATCCACATTTCAGTTTTGTGTATGAATACCACATTTATTTTATATTTTGCAGAGGACTAGAGCTGAAGTGCTCTTGGAACGTGCCTGTGTGCGGCGCCAAGGCACAAGTGACGTACTTGAAAACGCACGGTTGTGGAATGTTCCTGTTTGGCCATTGGCTAAACTTTTAAAGTGGCTGTCTGTACTAAAAGAAAACGACCGATACAAACCACAGAAGACTCCTAGCAGCATAACCTCAAAAGGTTCCTCATCCTCATCCTTAGCTAAGGTTCAGCGTTTAAGAACTCCATTCATCAAAACTGAATCCTTTAGTAGGTTAGTAAATTTACACAAAATGTTGAATTTGAGAAATTTGTCTAGGTGATTGATTTGGCTCTGTTACATAATCCATCCACATCTTGAATGTCACAGTCACACATTTTTCTTCGTCCTCTGTATTCTCCACTGTCCAAATATTTAGTGTGTTTTGATTTTTGGCTGCCCATTTCCTTGTTGTGGTAGGATTCATTCCTCACATCTTAATTACCTGCTTAAGTAGGTAATTACAGATGTAGTTTTTGACTGATATGAAGTAGCATTGTCATATCTATTTTTTGAACATTTGTATGGAGTCTGCTTCCACTATGTCATTTTTCAGTTCATTCCACTTTACCACTCACATCTTTAAGAAATATTTAAATATTCCTGTGACTCATTTGGTACATTTGCTACATTCCTTGTAATACCTCTGACATTTTCTACATCCCTAGTAACACCTCTTGACATTTGCTACATCCCTAGTAATACCCCTGACATTTGTGACATCCCTAGTAATACCCCTGACATTTGCTACATCCCTAGTAACACCCCTGACATTTGCTACATCCCTAGTAATACCCCTGATATCCTGCTGTGGCAGGATTTGAGATACCCGTGCTTGGGGATGCTATAACCTTTGACACTTGCCTGACTAAGAACTCAGCAACTCTTCTAAGGATATTTACTCATTTATCAAATTTGCTTCCAGATGAATGCAAGAGGAATAATTGCATGATTCTTCCCTCACTCGCTAATTGCAAATCATTGGTGACTGTTGCACCAACCAAAGAGGATTAGTTAATTTTAAGGCGGAAGAAGTACTTGAGGTTCTTTGAAGCCAGGAGTTGTGGCTGAAGGCGTGCAACAGGCATTCTTTGTGGTTTACCCTCATCCATTATTTGTTGCATAATGTTTGCACTACCAGTGCCTTAAGCCTAAGTGGACTGTTGCACTTAGCCTTTCTCCTTGCTTACTTCTTAAGATAAGAAATAAAAATGACTATTCCTTCAGGAAGATCTGAACAGATTGATGAATTATAGTGAAAGATGGATAATGGAATTTAATGTAATAAGTGCCATGTAATAGAATTGGGAAAAAGTTTATGTAGATAAAAAATATAGATTGTTTAACCCTTTTGGGGTCCTTGCCATAATATCATAGCTTTGAGCTCAGGGTCCGTGCTATAATATTACGTGTAAATTTTAAAGTCTTCAAATTTAGCAAGAGATGGCTGGTTGGCCTACATATGAGAGAATGGGTCTGTGTGGTGAGTGTGCACCATATAAAAAAACTGTGTATGGTTTAAAATAGTGACTTTGTGGTTTGTTTTTTTATGGTTCTATTCTTATTTTCTTGGTATCATTTGATAGAATTGAAGACATATTACTAAAATAGAGATGATTTTGATTGGATTCAAGACTGGAAGTAGCTTGAAATTGAGCTCAAAGTAGTAGAAATATTCAATTTTTGCCGATATTCCAGAGGATGGGCAAAGCCCACCTATAACCCACAGTCTGTTTTAGGTTTTATTAGGTCTGATTCAGTTATTGGGATGCTATAAATCAGGAACAATCTTTCCTGGTTATACAGTGGAACCTCTGCTTGCGAGCGTGTCCACATGCGAGTTTTTCCAAATATGAGCAGTCGATGGGTCGATTTTTTGCTTCCATAAGCAAGCAAAATTTCCACAAGCGAGCAGACCTCAAGGCAGGTTCCTTGACACTGGTGAGGGGCTCTTGCTCTTGATCTCGGGAATTGTATCTCAGTTGTTTGTTGGACTATCTTATTGAAACTTGGGCAATGTATGATGGAAAGATGCTTCTTAACATACACCAAAAATGAAAGAAATCTAAGCATAAATAATGGAGTTCATTTCTCAGCAATTAGCCACCCCTTAGTGGTAATTTCGAATGGTTTTTATGGTTGTATTCTCGTTTTTTTTGGTCTCATTTGATAGAATAGAAGATATATTACAGAAATATGTAGATATGATTTTGATTGCTTTCATGACAAAAAGTACCTTGAAATAGAGCTCAACCTAGGAGAAATGGTCCATTGCTTGGCTGTTTCAATGTAAACAAATGACATCACAGTAAATCTTATATTTTTGTGTGAATATAAATTACAAATTATTTATATAATAATAATAAAATGATAATAATAATAGTAATACCTAAGTAATAAGTTGGTAGACAGCAACCGCCCAGGGAGGTACTACCGTCCTGCCAAGTGAGTGTAAAATGAAAGCCTGTAATTGTTTTACATGATGGTAGGATTGCTGGTGTCCTTTTTTCTGTCTCATAAACATGCAAGATTTCAGGTACGTCTTGCTACTTCTACTTACACTTAGGTCACACTACACATACATGTACAAGCATATATATATACACCCCTCTGGGTTTTCTTCTATTTTCTTTCTAGTTATTGTTCTTGTTTATTTCCTCTTGCCTCCATGGGGAAGTGGAACAGAATTCTTCCTCCGTAAGCTATACGTGTTGTAAGAGGCAACTAAAATGCCTTCTCCTGTATAAATTACAGTGGTCCCTCGCATTTTGTAATTAATCTGTTCCTGGAAATGTGACTGTTATCGAAATTGACGATTTTCGAATCCATTTTCCCCATAAGAAATAATGTAAATCCAATTAATTCGTTCCAGACACCCAGAAGTATCAACAACAATTTTTTTTTTTACCTTAAAGATAGATTTACATGCACAAAAGAATGAACATTCAACATGACAGTTACCTTTATTGAAGGCTGTTGTTGATGAATGGAAGACAGGCAGGAGGAGAGAGGGAAGAGAGGTTATTGTTTAGAAGGGGAATCCCCCTCCATAAGGACTCTAGGTCACTTCAGGGATCACTTCCCTAGCTTAAATATAGATTTACATGCAAAAACAGTGATTATGTGAGAGTGAGGTGAACGTGTTGAATGATGATGAAAGTATTTTCTTTTTGGGGATTTTCTTTCTTTTTGGGTCACCCTGCCTCGGTGGGAGACGGCCAACTTGTTGAAAAAAAAAAATGCAGAAAAGAATGCCAAATAAATGTAAAGCACTAATAAAATGTATAAATAAACATTTAACATCACACTTACCTTTTATTGAACTTTAGTTGGTGTATGGCAGTGGGAGGGGAGATGAGTTTATTTTTGGAGAATATGACACTAATATCAACTCTCCAGCTTATTTATCTATCACAGTTCAACTAATAAGACATAATAAACAATATTAATAACATAGAAACATGGAATATACTCTAGAATGAATAAAATAAGTCACTATGTGTGTCACGAGAGGTGTTGTGTTGTTGTTGGGTGTATAAGGGCCACTGAGAGTAAGCCGTCCATAATGGTGGTGAAGCAGCAGCTGAGGCGGCGGTGTTTTCTGTAGCCCTATGTAATTCCAACAACATTGGAGGAGTTGGTAGAATCGCTGAATCACTGAAGAAGGCACCCTCTACCACCATCACAACTGCTACCACCATCACAACCACTACCACCCTCTACCACCATCATAACCACTACCACCATCATAACCACTACCACCCTCTACCACCATCATAACCACTACCACCCTCTACCACCATCATAACCACTACCACCCTCTACCACCATCACTACCACCTACCACTATCACAACTGCTACCACCATCACTACTACCTTCTACCACTGCCTACCACTATCACAACTGCTAGCACCCTCTACCACCATCACTACTACCTTCTACCACTGCCTACCACTATCACAACTGCTAGCACCCTCTACCACCATCACTACCACCCTCTACCACCATCTCTACCACCGTCTACCACTATCACAACTGCTGGCACCCTCTTCCACCATCGCTACCACTATCACAACTGCTAGCATCCTCTACCACCATCGCTACCACCCTCTACCACTATCACAACTGCTAGCACCCTTTACCACTATCACAACTGCTAGCACCCTCTACCACTATCACAACTGCTAGCACCCTCTACTACCATCACTACTGCTAACACCCTCTACCCCCATCACTACCACCCTCTACCACCATCAGTACCACCCTCTACCACTATCACAACTGCTTCCACTCTACCACCACCACCTTTGTATTTTTCTACAAACTTTTTCTTAAATTATATGTGTTTCTCACATTCTTTACCAAAGGGCTGGTACTAGAAGCTTTCTTTGGAGCAATGGTGACTTATTTAGCAGTTGCAAGCACTAAAACGAATGGAATATTATGAAATGTATCATATGAACTCGTGGGATCATCCTCACTCACTGATAAACAATGGCACATTGGCTGGGAATGGAGTGTGAGGTGACTCAGGGCTGTGTGTACGTGTCCCAGATGAATGACTATTTGCGAGTCAAACGACGATTCACGAGCCAATGTTTTAATGAAAATAACGTTACGATTTACAAAAATTACATCTATCGAGCCTTACGATTATCGAGGGACCACTGTACTAAATTTAAAAAGAGAAACTTTCGTTTTTCTTTTTGGATCACCCTTCCTTGGTGGGATATGGCCGGTTTGCTGAAAAAAAAATGATGATTTTCTTTGGTTTAACCCTTTGAGGGTCTACAGGCCCTCTCAGAGACTTGTTCTCAGGGTCCCCCAAATTTCAAAAAAAAAAAAAAAATTTTTTTTCTTATGAAAAGATAGAGAATTTTTTCCCGATCATAATGACACCAAAAGTATGAAATTTGATGGAAAACGTACGGAATTATGCTCTCGCGAAGTAAGCGGTCTCGACGATGTTTACGCATCGGCGATTTTGCCCACTTTGAGCCATATTTCTGCTACTTTGAGCTCAATTTCAAGGTACTTTTCATTGTAAAACCAGTCAGAATCATCTCAATTTTTGTAATATGTCTTCCATTCTATACAATGAGACCAGGAAAACTAGAATACAGCAATAAATACCATACGAAAATATAGTACAAAGTCACTGTTTTAATCCAAAAACACGGTCAAAGTTTTTTTTTTCTCATTACGCACTGTGTGTTGTAGGATTTTTTCTGTAGTGCGCACACTGACCACGTAGACCCATTCTTTCATATGTAGGCTTACCAGCTTTCTCTCACTAGATTTGAAGGCGCTAGAATTTATGCGTACTAGTACGTCATGGACACTGGCGCGTAAGCCATACTAGCACGGCTGAAACCCTGAAAGGGTTAAAGACTAAAAGTAGCTTGAAATTGAGCTCAAAGTAGTGGAAATGTTCGATTTTTGCTGATGTTTAAGATTAACCCTTAAACTGTTCAAACATGTGTAGTGCTCCAAAAGTAGATCTACGTTTTTTTACATACTTTCAAATATATATATATAAAAAATAGATCAAAGTTTCTTTTACATGCTTTCAAATATAAAAAAAAAAGATGATCTACATTTTTTTACATACTTTCAAATGTTGAAAAAACATAGATCTAAGTTTTGAATTGTGTGTGAAATTGGCCAAATCAGTAATTTCAGATCACTTTATTAGGTAGTTGAAATAGGTGAATGGGTGGTTTCTTGTACTCAGTCAATAGAATAAAAGGAGTTCTAGTGAAATAGCTATGAGTTTGGTCAACTGGAACAGTGGAATTTGCCTAAAATAGGGCTCAAAGTGGGCAAAATCACCGATGCGTAAATATTGCTGAGATCACTAGCTTTGCAAGAGTGTAATTCTGTAAGTTTTCCATCAAATTTCGTATTTTTTGTTTCATTACCTTTGGAAAAAGATTCTCTGTCATATCATAAGGAATTTTTTTTTTCAACCCTGAGAGTGAGTAAAAGATTGGGGGTCTCAACCCTCAAACAACAACACTTTCAGTGTCAGTCCCATTGTATCATGGCTTTGAAGCTAGTGTCAGTCCCGTAGTACAATGCCACGAGTTCAGCTCACTAAGATAAGCTGTGAGTGGTATATTTGGTCCAAGATATGAGTGAATGGGTGTATGTGGTAAGTGTGCACCATATAAAAAAAATCCTGCCGCAGGCAGTGCATAATGAGAAAAAACTGCAATCATATCTTTTGGTTTAAAACAGTGACTCTGTGGTGTATTTTAGTATGGTTGTTTTTATTGTTGTATTCTCAGTTTCTTGTTCTCTTTTGATAGAATGGAAGATTATTTTTTTATTATTATCACACTGGCCGATTCCCACCAGGGCAGGGTGGCCCGAAAAAGAAAAACTTTCACCATCATTCAATCCATCACTGTCTTGCCAGAAGGGTGCTTTACACTTCAGTTTTTAAACTGCAACATTAACACCCCTCCTTCAGAGTGCAGGCACTGTACTTCCCATCTCCAGGACTCAAGTCCGGCCTGCCGGTTTCCCTGAGCCCCTTCATAAATGTTACTTTGCTCACACTCCAACAGCACGTCAAGTATTAAAAACCATTTGTCTCCATTCACTCCTATCAAACACGCTCACGCATGCCTGCTGGAAGTCCAAGCCCCTCGCACACAAAACCTCCTTTACCCCCTTCCTCCAACCTTTCCTAGGCCGACCCCTACCCCGCCTTCCTTCCACTACAGACTGATACACTCTTGAAGTCATTCTGTTTTGCTCCATTCTCTCTACATGTCCAAACCACCTCAACAACCCTTCCTCAGCCCTCTGGACAACAGTTTTGGTAATCCCGCACCTCCTCCTAACTTCCAAACTACGAATTCTCTGCATTATATTCACACCACACAGTGCCCTCAGACATGACATCTCCACTGCTTCCAGCCTTCTCCTCGCTGCAACATTCATCACCCATGCTTCACACCCATATAAGAGCGTTGGTAAAAGTATACTCTCATACATTTCCCTCTTTGCCTCCTAGGACAAAGTTCTTTGTCTCCAGACACTCGTAAGTGCACCACTCACCCTTTTCCCCTCATCAATTCTATGATTCACCTCATCTTTCATAGACCCATCCGCTAACACATCCACTCCCAGAATGGAAGATACATTACAGAAATAGGGATGATTTTGATTGTTTTAAGGACTAAAAATAGCTTGAAATTGAGCTCAGAATGGCAGAAATGTTCAGTTAATGCTAATGTTCAAGAGTAAACAAATCATGTCGCTTCCATTCATCCATCTGGTGGGTGTAATATGATTTCACGAATGTGTTGATAGTATTTATACAGTTATTACAATATTGCATAACTGTAAGTCTTCTATTTTTTGTGTAAATAAAAAATGAAAATGGCATTCATGTGTAAATCCTGGGAATGTAACTATTGAACAGAGAAAATTATATTTTAGTGTCAGGAATGCCTGCATTGTTTATTCTGAACCCTATTTTGAAATTTGTTTGAAATTGACCAAATTACCAATTTCTGATCACTATTGGGTAGTTGAAATAGTTCATTGGGCGATTTCTTGTGTTCAGTCGATAAAATGAAAGACATACTAGCAAAGTAGCTAAGAATTTGGTTGACTGGAAAGATGTAATGGGCCTAAAATAGGACTGAAAGTAGGCAAAATTGCCAGTGCATAAATATCACTGACACAGCAAAATTCACGAAAGCATAATTTCGTAAATTTTTCATCAAATTTCATACTTCTTGTTTTATTACCTTTAGAAAAAGATTCTCTACCATTTCATAAGGAAAAATAACTAAAGAAATATTTTGAAAATCTTTTGACAGTGTGGACAAGTTTCAAATTGAGGCTCTGGATAGTAAAAGGGTTAACACCTGGTGAATGATTTAAACAGAAAAATATGTCACTAAGTCCTAGTATCTCCACAAACTCACTGAGAATTTTCTCAGATATCATGATTATCTTTACAGGTGCACAAATACAGGGGTGTCATCCAAGAATGGCTTGAACTAGGCCTAGCAAAACTGTTTATTTAGACTGAGAGCACCAGTAATATTTCTGTTATGAAATCCCCTTCAGTTGGTCCACCAACTACCAAAACACTGCAATTGGTGGAATCCCAGTAGAGATTTGGACAGGTTTCCTTCACACTCTTAAGGAAGTAAATTTAATAGATGTGGAAGTATCCCTGCCATGAAAGGCAAAGCAGAGTTGCTTGATTCTATTCAGGCAAGCACCTCCACCTTCAAAAGAGAGAGCCTCATTGCTCAACCCTTCTACTGTGCATACAGTGACCCAATGTTGGGGAAATAACCAGGAATGAAACATATAAGAGTATATTGGCATTGACTCTCAGTGAAAATTTCATTCATCTCTCTTGATCTTAGAAACCATTCAGTGTAATTGGCTTTTAATAACACCGTGAAGCATACACTGATAAAGAACTTACCTAAGTACCCCACAGGGTGTGTACAGCATGCATTATTCGATTATTTGTAAGGATTATGATAAAAAGTACACTGGAGGAACAGGGAAAACTTGGGAGGCCAGGCTTTAACAGCACAAATATTTAAGTTGGTCATCACAGGTATAGAGTGCCTTGTTTCTGCTTTTGCAGGCCACAGGACATCCAGTGGATTGAGAACATGTCAAGAGAGTGGCTTCCTGCCAAGGGTATGTTGAGTGTTAACATTTTGATATTACTCTAATTAACCCATTTACTATGTCTTGTATCATTTGGTTGGTTCCTATCTAATGTCATTTTGACATGAAAAATTAAAGTGGCCATGTGAACTTTTGCTTTAATTTTTCTTTTTGACCCTTTCACCATCCAGACCTCTGAAATTAATATTGCTCTTATTCTTCTTTCTTTCAACACACCGGCCATATCCCACCGAGGCAGGGTGGCCCAAAAGGAAAAACGAAAGTCTTTCCTTTTACATTTAGTAATATATACAGGAGAAGGGGTTACTAGCTCCTTGCTCCTGACATTTTAGTTGCCTCTTACAACACGCATGGCTTACGGAGGAAGAATTCTGTTTCTCATGGAGGGGGGAGTGAGGGGAAGTCACGCGCGATCGAGCTCCGTCAAAAATTGCTTTTCCTGATAGTTCCAAGTGGGAACAGAGGGTGGGAAATAAGCGAGTGCAACCATAAAGTGATATACTCCTTTGAACCAACATAAAAGGAATATCAGTGAACACCAAATAGAAAAATATGGATTACAGTGTCACATGGAGAGTGCTGGTTAGAACAATGGTTACTCTGGAAATAAGCCTGACCAGCACTAGCGAACTATTGCCAGATGTCTACACAAGTGGAAATAAACAAACAGATATTGAACTATCTATAAGTAATATGGCGAGTGTCATGTATATATATGTGCAGTTACACAGTGAAATAAATTGTAGATATGAGTAATCTAAATTATCCTCAGTATAGCGTAAAATATATGGTGCAGCTTATGGGAATATTTACAAGCAATTGGCACTAGCGAACTATTGCCGGAGGTCCAGAGAAGTGGAAATAATGGAGGAGTGTTTACTACAGTCATAAGTAATAAAACGAGTGATGATAGCAGCGAGGTGCAGGGAATCACAGTATACATAAATTAAGCATACAATCAATGAAAAGGCATAAGTCTACTGTGTGACGGGTTTTCCCCGTTACCTCTACTAAGCTTTACTGCTGTGGAAGTGCAGGGGAAAGTTACTGTAGGCCTAGTGCCGTATGAACAATATAACGATCCCAGTGTAGTGCAGTGAAAAGAAAAGTGTACCTTGAACGAATATATTGTATATCCTTGAGATAACCAGTGTACAACACAGTGACAAAATACCAATGATAAAATAAAAGGAAATAAAATAAAAAAACAATTGTGAAGTGTGGCAGTGGTGGGGCAATCTGTGTGTCCTGGTGTTGACATGTGACAAGTGATACACGAAGGTTCAAGTTACCACATATAACGAATAGACTAGGAATATAGTGAATATAGTGCATAATATACGGAATATATTCATGGGTCGACCATCACCTGCGAAAAAAAAAAAATTGTCAGAGGTGACAGTGAAGTGCAAACTATCATACAAGTGTTATAACGAAGAAAAAAGGATATAAATAGGCAGTGATATAATAAACTGAACTTATGAATAAGAGTTGATCCTTTTAATCCCGAGTGTAGTGTAAAACTATGGTATAATTTTATGGGAACAAGTGCGCAAGTGCCACCCGCACCCCACCTCCCAGTCCCCGCCTCGTGCCCTAACCCCATTCCCTGGATCCTACACAACCCAACCAACAATCCCACCCCTGGCCCCCCTCCTCACACCCTCACCCTCTTTCCACAGACCCCTATCTCCCAGCTTACCACCCCACCACACAGCCCCCTCCTCCTATTGTCCCTACCCTCTCCCCAAGGATACCCACCACCCAGCCCACCCCACCTACCAGCCACCCCACCACCAGCCGCACAAAATAAATACACCATCCACCACATACACCTGTTTAAATGTAATCATGGCCAGGAATAAAGGCTGTTGTATATGTGAAAAAATCTTGGGAGAAACATAAGGGGTATTGATTGTGAAATATGCTGTAAAACATCACATATATCATGTACAAAGCTTCATGCAACCATGACAAATGACCAAAAACAAGAAAGTCATTTCTGGATTTGCCCCAGTGAAAGGGACAGCTGGTTAAGCATAAGAGAGGTACTGAAAAGTGAAAACCTAGAAAGCTTAAGGAAGTTTCTAAGGAGCTTTCCAGAGTTATACAAAGAGTGGAAAACAAGGGAAAAGGAACAAGAAAAGGAGGAAAATGCAAATAGAGGTGAAAACCAAGGAGTGAAAGTAAGAGTAAGAGTAGAAAACGTCACAGAGCAAGTCGAAAAAGAAGGAAACACGGATACATAACATAGCGGAAAGGGGAAGGGAGGATGAGAAAACTAGAACAGGAACAAACGAAAACGAGCAAAGGTAAGAAATTAGCCTAGAAGAAAGTGAACAAGAGAACTCAGATCAGGTGGCAGAACTTAGGAACAACACAGAATCAATAAATATAGGTAGTCAGAACATTTGCAGTTACTATGCTAAAGGTATGTCCCTATATGGCAGAGATTGTTGGAATAAACACACCAGAAAATGTGCGAACATGTTGAGGAAGGGAAAGTGTCGATTCAACAAAGAGTGCAGGTACTTCCATCCAGTAATGTGTAAAGCTTCAATGCAGTCCAGAGAATGTTATGACCTGAGCTGCCCAGACCATCATGTAAAAGGAATGCGGCGCTACAGAGTTAGCAGAAAAAGGGAAATTGAATGGCATTCTTTTTTAGACAAAAAGAGAAAAGATCAAAACAAAGGAAGAGACAAACAGGGGGAATGGTACAGAGAGGACAGGTGGGCAGTAAAATGGGGCGTACCAAACCAGGCATCAGCTCATCAAGGCCGAATAAGCAAACAAACGCGAAGCCAGTACTGGAGAAACCAGGGGCGTGTACACCAGGTAGTACACCACCAGTGGTACTAATGAAACACAAAGGGAGACAAAACATCCCACTTGGTAATTCCTGCTTCATATTTACAAATATACAGGGTTTGAAATCAAATAAAAATGACAAAGTTAGTTATGTCAGTGGACTCCTAACAGAAGCGAATGCCATATTTGGAGCATTTACAGAAACACATACAAGGGATGTTTTGGACGGAGAGATAAAGATAGCAAACTACAACATGTATAGATGTGATAGAATCAGTAGGTCACAGGGAGGAGTAGGAATCTATGTAAAGGATACTTTCTGTTGCATAGAAGTGCTGAATTCTACGAATGATATAGTAGAAATTCTAGGCATTAAAGTTGAAAATAGGAATTTGGTAATTATCCTAGTATACAAACCACCATTGGCAACTACTGAGGAATTCACAGATCAGTTAAGTAAGATATATAGCTATCTGGATAGGCTAGAAAGTCCTACACCAAATATTTTACTCCTTGGAGATTTTAATCTCCCTCGTGTAAAATGGAAGATGGCACAATGTAATGTTATACCAGAAATATCCCCGGGAAGCACCCTTGCTCAAAAGGTACATACCAGGGAACTAATGAGGCTTTGTGAAAAGTACTCTTTAAACCAACAGGTAATTGATCCCACTATGAATGAAAATACCCTGGATTTGATATTCACAAGCAACAAGGAACTGATCAGAGACGGCAGGTTACAAATTTCATGGACCAGCACAACCAACATAACCCAAACCAGCATGGTTTTAGAGCAGGACGATCATATCTGTCACAGCTGCTGAACCATTTTGACAGAATTACGGAGGCACTGGAAGACGACCAAAACGCAGATGTGATTTACACAGATTTTGCAAAGACGTTTGACAAATGCGATCATGGAGTGATAGCGCACAAAATGAAGGCCATGGGCATTACGGGGAAGGTAGGCAGGTGGATTTTCGGTTTCCTGACACACACAACACAAAAAGTAGTAGTGAACAGGGCAAGATCCAGCATCAGCGAGGTCAAAAGCTCAGTGCCCCAAGGCACTGTCCTGGCACCTCTGCTGTTCCTCATCCTCATAGCAGACATAGACAAAAATACCCGGCACACTTTTGTATCATCATTTGCAGATGACGCTAAAATAAGCATGAAAGTCAGTACGGTAGAGGACACTGAAAAGTAAAGGAAGACATAAACAGGGTTTTCCAGTGGGCAGTGGAAAACATGACATTCAATGGTGATAAGTTTTAGCTGCTTGGTATGGAAAGAATGAAGAACTCAAAAGGAGCACTATATACAAAACTCAAGAGGGTCACCAAATAGAACATAAGGAACACGTAAAAGACCTAGTAATAGTTATGTCAGCCGACCTTTCTTTTAACCCTTTCAGGGTCCGTCCCGTAGATCTACGGCTTTACGTTCAGGGTCCAAACCGTAGATCTCTGCCATGAGCTCAGCTCACTCTGATAAACTGTGAGTGGTAAATTTGGGCCTAGATATGAGAGAATACATCTATGTGGTATGTGTGCACCACATAAAACAAATCCTGCAGCACACTGTGTATAATGAGAGAAAAAAAAACTGAGACCCTGATTTTCGATTAAAACAGCAACTTTGCAGTGTTTTTTCGTATGTATTTTATAGTTGTATTTGCGATTTCTTGGTCTCATTTGATAGAATGGAAGACATATTACAGAAATAGAGATGATTTTGATTGGTTTTAGCACTGGAAATGGCTTGAAACTGAGCTCAAAGTAGCAGAAATGTTAAATTTTTGCCGATGTTCAAGAGTAAACAAACGACCTCACACGTCTAATACACGCCAGCTGGTGGGTCTAATATACATTCACAAATGTGGTGATGATATTTATACAATTATTACAAAATTGCATAACAGTAAATCTTCTATTTTTTGGTGTGAATAAAAATTCATTATGTGAACAAAAAATCAAAATAGAATTTATTTGTAAAGCCTCAAAGCATAACTAATTAACAGAGGAAATGTTAGTTTAGTGCCAGGAATACCTACATTGTTTATTCTGGACCCTATTTTGAAATTGGAATATTTTGAACTTTGTGTTAAATTGGCCAAATTACCAATTTCCGATTACTTTATTTTGTAGTTGAAACAGTTGACTTGGCGATTTTTTGTGCTCAATCGATAGAATAGAAGT